TGATCTGCTTTACATTCTCTCCCCCACCTCACTTCTCCATTCAAGTTTCATCTTTATCCTGCTGCAAGTTTCTTTGCACAAAACTGTGAGAACTGGAGGTTTAAGAGGCCTCTGGGGAGTAGAGCAGGGCGCACAGTGGCATGGTTGTGAAATGCAGCCACACTCATGTGTGAAGTTTGCAGACACCTTCTTGTCAAGTGGAAGCCCCTCTGCCTGCCCCTCACACAGACTCAAAACTTCTTCAGGGATTACCCAGTCAGAGCATCTCTGTTTAATCACAAATTTGCAAATCTGGAATTATTTTATTGGTTGAGTTTCAGGGTATTTTTAATAGATGAGGTGGTAAAGTGAGGAGTGGTTGGCACTGCGTACCCGTGATGGTCTTCCTCAGTGCTGAGTGTTAGGAGTATCAGGCAGCAGAAAGAGATAATAAGAAAGAAAACCTTAAGGTCAAGATGTACCTAGTGATAAATGGCCTTTGCATAATAACATTCCAGCCTAAAATATGAGTGATTTGTAATTTACTTGAATAAATTCATTTACTTTTATGATTTTTAAAATTCTAAACTTCAAAAATATTATTCCAGACAATTATTTTTCAACTAAAAATTTTGCCTAGGAATAAATAATACTGCTTTAATAAACTTGACTATATTTTCTTACCAAATGCACATCTTTCCACTTTACTTCGGCATAGATTTACTTGCCTTCTATGAACTTGGGAGAACAAATTAGGATAAGAACTTGTAAGGATTTCCCACCTTGTGGCTTTCAAAGGTGGAGGTGAATTTTAATTCGATGGCCACTTACTGGAGGTCCTCCCAGGACCCCTGCCCTCTCGCTGTTTGCAGGACTCAGTTCTCCAAAGGCTTGAGAGTGCTTGGGGTGGCTTCCTCCAAACTGCCAGCCAGATGCAATGAAAGCCTCTGAAGCAGAGTCTCTATCTGATACAAGAAAACATATCCTCAACATTTGTCAAAGATGAAGGGGAAGGCCGTAGTGATGGCTTTCAGCCGGGAATCTCATCCATAAAGGAGCTACCCAGACTAAACCTCAGGAAGGCACTTAGTTCTTCCATCATACGTTGTGAATTCAGCTCACCACCTTCTACTTGAGACTGAGTAATCTGATTCATCATTTTACCGAGGGAAACATGAGTCACTTAGATGATTAGAATGGAGGATGCTGTATACTGTCCCCTGCTGAATTTGAATAAACCAAACACAACCAAATTGACTTGTGTGGGAAAACTCAAAATAATAAAATACTGGCAGCTCACAAACATGCCATTCAGGTATTATGGAAATAAGTAACCAAAATCACTCAAGAAACAGAATTAAAGTCAAGTCACTACACCTGAATGTCACAGGATTTTCAGGTAATAGCTTATAAAATGAAGGGCACCTTTACAATGCTAATGTAAATTTCAGCAACCTAAACCTTGTCTTTGGAGAGTAACAATTCTCAGGAATTCTAAAGGAATATGTTTCTAATAAAATTATAAGCCTCTTTCCTGTAAATGAATTCTGCTCTTTCTGTCATGTTCAGTTTTATCTTTGTTTTTGTTTTCTTACTTCAAAAGACAGCTTCAAATCCTCTTGTGTAATTAGGTGGGATTTAAATTGTAAATATATTATGGGAAAAAATAATTAATATTTTGAGTATCTACTATGCATCAGGCACCTCATCACTTAAGCCTCATAACACTGCTTAAAAACTCTCCCCGTTTTGTGAAGTCCCTGGCTGAGGCTTGGAGACATTGTGAGATTCATGTTTCCAGAGCTTGTAATGAAATTCTCACATGTGTCCATCCATCTGGCTCCTAAGCATTCTGCCTCTATACTAATTCACCTTGCTTTCATTTTAAAAGTAAATTGGAAATATTACATTGTATATTGCATAATTCATTAAGTAGTGTTGTATCCCATGTGTAATATCTTTGTTCACAGAGCAAAATGGTCCCTAATGTCAGCAGGATTCTCTGACACTCTCTGAACAGAAAAGGAGACTTCCTGTAAGGTCTGCACTGAAGTGACGAGACACGGTTAAGCAGGACCTGTCCGACTTCCTTTGGTGCCTTCTGATACAGCAAAAGCTTATCCTGCGTTAGTAATGCCCATACCGCTCCTGCCTCTCTCGGTCACTGCACAGCAGGAAGCCATTGAGCCCCCTCTTTTTATCCCATGGTCCTGCTTCTCACTCTAGGGAGCAGAATAACCTTGATTGTCGCCGCATGGAATTTCTGACCTAGCGAGACACTGCAGTCTGTGCGGCAGATGCACCCATTTGTTTGCATAGTTCTGCCTATTTCAGAATCAGACCTTTTTTTGTCAGATACCCTCTACTGGGACTGCTTCTCCCTACCCCCCCTTCTTTACCTGCAAAACTCCTTTCGGCTTTCTTTTTTGTTTGTTTGATTTTTTTGTAGAACTGAGGATTGAACTCAGGGCCTTTGCACTAATCTACATCACCAGTTCCCACTCCCCTTTTAAATTTTGGTACAGGATTTCTCTAAATTGCTAAATAATCCATAAACTAGACCCAGCTCAAACTGGCAATCCTCCTGACTCAGCTTCCCAGAGTGCTGGATTTATAGGCGTGACCAATATGTCCTGCTCCTTTAGGTATTTAATCTCCTCCAGGAATTTCTCTACAATATTCACCCTTCATATATTCCTTGCTGTCATCACACTGTTCTATAATGATCTAAGTCTCTAAGTCTGTTTTAACCAATATAGTGGGAACTTCCTGAAAGCAGGGTTGGGTTGAAAATACAAGATGTGAAATCATTAGGAATCCTTATCCTAAATTGTTCACACAAGTTCATACAAGGCATTTGTAAATCTATGACAAAATATAAAGTGGGAAGATATGACTTTGGTAAGAAAATATAGTCAAGTTTATTAAAGCAGCACTATTCTTTATATGTCGCCACAATTTTCCCATCATATATTAATGGTTTCATGGTTCTTCAGGACTGATATAGAAGGTCTCGATAAAGCTTTGCTTAAAATGATTACTTTATAACCCCTTCAAGTAAATTTAAAAGTATTTCATAGTGAAAATTATGTCTAATCCCTAGGAACTCCTCTATATTTTGCAAGGAATTTCAGAAGGGCTCGTCAAGGGTATACCAGATTATGGTTATACATCTGCTGCTACTCAAAAAAGTATGTGACAGGGTAGAAATCAGTTTGCCTTCAACAGGCACCAATGTGCTTGAAGACATTTTTGAAAGCCTTGGTGTTTAAAAAGAATTGATCTGTATTCGTGATCTCTTGTATTTAAAGACTGCATCGTTTGATTCACTCTTTCTTAAATGTCGATTCTCTCTAGGTTTTAAAAGCTGCATGACACTATGTTTCCAAAGCGTAAGAGTCAGGTTCATTCTGGGAGCTTGGTTTCCTATCCGTGCACAACGCATTTTGATCATTTCGGCCCTTTGCCCCCTGCCCTGCCTCCTCCCCTTTATCCATGTTCCCATCTCCAAAAGCCCACTTTAGACACGTGTTTCAAAACATCTCTTGGGACACAGAGGAGGTGGACACTGGGGACGACCCCTCCACTCCGTCCCTTCCTTCACGGATCCCAGGCTGCGAGAGAGGAGCAGGGCTGGGGCCTCCCTGCAGATTCAGTTCCCTTCTGAGCCGCAGAATGGCCCGGCCCTGGCCTCCCGGGCTCGCAAAACTATCCCGAGAACGCCAGCTGCACTCAGATATCTTGCAAAGATTCAGTGATTCGGTGCCCGCAGCTGTGGGGTCACCTACACACGCTGTACTTGGAGATGCTCCTTAGAAAGGTCAGGCGCATAGGCTTCTTCCGGGTGTCCCCAGCCTTCCCTTGCTTAGTCCTTGTCTGGAACGTTCGTGCCAAGTCTTTGCGCCCATGAGGAAAAACAATCATGGTGCGGATTTCTATTTCTCTCCATGGCCTCGTGATGCGCTTCGCTTTCTGCACGCCTGTGACTCACTGTGGGGCCAGCAGTTAGAAGAAATCCTACAAGCAGCAAAGCCTAAGCGTACTTGACAGGAGGCCCGACCGGGAGAGAGGGGTGTGCGAGATGCTGATTGCTCCTCTCGCTAAACCATAATTTGGCTGCAAGAATCAGTTTTGAAGAATTTTTCAAGAATTCTAAAAAAGGCAACTTCCAGTAAGGCAGCTCTGCTGACATTTGATAATATCTAGCTGTCAGGAGGTTTTTAAAGGTACACATGCACACGTGGATTCCCGGATTAAAAAAAAAAAAACCCAGCAGGAATTCGGGAAATGAAAATTAATGATAAAACATTTCTCGAGGATTTCATGGGAGTTCACATGATGGTTCACGTTTACAGTGGGGCCCGATTGGTACTGGTTAATTAAAAATGTCACTTGGGATAAGAAGTACTCAGAAGCGTTTCCAGGTTTTTCTTTCTTTCTTTTTTTCTACAGTTGATAATAAACCTGAGACTCAAGGGAAACTTCCAAGGTTCTATAAAACTGAATATATTTTCCCTTTGGCTCATTGTTTACTTAACTACAGGTCATTTGTTCTGGCAGGAGAAAATGTACCTGTTCGCTATCAAAAGGCCTGTGAATTTTAACTTTCTTTTATTGCCTTACTGCATCATTTGAGAATTTTTTTGTTAAATGAAAAAAATGATGATTTTTCAGTACATTAGGGTTCCTCTCAGTGTCTGTGATTTTGGTGTCCGTAATTTAAAGTGCATATTGAAAGTAACTTGCTTTATCTGATCACGTGCAGACTTTCCATTAATAAATCCAGCAGAGGTGCTTGACGTAATATGCGTCTATGGAAAATAATGTATTTCACAAACAGCTCTAAAGATAACTTGAATCTGTGGCGATGTCATCTTAAAGATCTCAGCTAATAACAGCTCTCCTACTGCCCAGAGTTACCAGTTTGTACTCAGGATTGAGTTACGCCTGCGGGGGGGGGGGGGGGGCGTTTCTGCTGTGCGTTTTGAACTTGCTCATCTGCTCTTTTGTCCCCTGCACAGGACAGAGCCCGGCCCCGGCCTCTCCAGCACTCACACTGCAGGCTCCCAGACCCGCTCACGCCCCACCTGCTCTTGAAGGTGAGTATTTTTCTTGCCATAGATTTCTACTGTAGACAATTAGAATGCAGAACGCGACAAAATAGTAACAAAAGATGTAAAACACAGTATCTTTTGCATAGCACTGTTACATGTGAAATACAATTTACATTTCCTGAAGTTCTAATTTGCTCCTTTTTAGAAAAGGGAAAAAATTTCCCCTTAAGATTTGATATTGGTGACATTCAGCTTCTAGAAGGATGGCTGGCTCACCGCCCTGGAATTCAATCCAGAAAATATAGAGACTAACACACAGAATATGCCTTGGAACTCTTGCAATTTTACCACAATTTAGTCAATTTTTTATCTGAAGACGGGTACTGAACTTGCCAGATTTGAGTCCAATCTCACCTTTTACAAACATTCTACATTTGAGAAGTTACTTACATTTAGTGATCACAAGTTTTGTCCTCTGTAGTACCATATATGAGTACCACTGACCTGTGAGTATGAATAGATGAATGCGTGCATAATATAATTCATGCACATATACAGTTTATAAGTGCTTGTGTACAATTAGTAGCAGATGGTACTACTGCTAAATACTTCTTCAAAATATGATCTTTCAAGAACAGAAAAGTAAAGTGAAGTAAATGTAATGATGATCAGTTCCATGGAAATTTGAAGTCATTTCTTTAAATCTTATTCATTCACTCCTTCAACTATTACTTAGATCGTATCCATGGGATCATGTCAGACTGTCTGAGTCACTTTCTCATTACTGGAACAAAATACCCAGCACCCACAGCATGAAAGAGGAGAGGCTCATTTGGCTCCCAGTTTCCCGTGGACTCAGTCCAATGTCAGCAGAAGTGCATGGTGGGAGTGGATGATGGAGAAAAGCTGATCCTAGGACAGCCAGGAAGTGGGGGGCGGGAGGTCCAGGGACAAGAATGTCCTCTTCTGCTCAAGCTCTCAGTGACCTGCCTCCTCTGGCCATGCTCCACCGTCATCTATGAACTCTTCCACAGCCAGCTCACTGATGAGTGTGGTCCTCCCATGACCCAGTCACCTTCCAAACCCTGAGACCTCAAAGGACATTTCAGATCGAAGCTACAGCACAGACACTGTCTAAAGCATGGGGATTTAGAGATTAGTAAACATTTTCTCCCATGCCCCGACCCAGTTCACAACAATAAAGCCAAGAATATAAACAGAGGTTGTCCCCAGCTCACAGTCCCTTCTAGGTCTGAGGAGAAAGTCGTATTTTACTTCTAAATTATAGCAACCTATTACAGTATGTAAACTATTTTGGTCTGGCCACTCACACAACTTGGATTATTTATCAGTTGTGGAATTTTAAATAAATATCCCATGGCATTGTGAGACAGTACTGTATTACTATCAGCCGCAAAAAGCGCGTTTTTGTCTGGTGACCTGGCAGTGTGATTTAGGGTTAAGTTCATGAGCGTCTTGCTCAGAATCCAAAGACATTGCTTTTTGAATATTTACAGAATAGCTTAGAAGTAGCCCAAGGTGCGGACCTTTTGTCTCTCATCTCCTCCGATCCACAGTGCATTTATTTGCCCACACCGGTCTTTTGCTTATTTATTTGTCAGCGTGAAGCCCTTGGGTAGAGCGGACTTTCCAAGGTCTCCATCCATGCCCATGGCTCCACTTCACCATTCGCTCTCTTGGCTGCAGATACTGTTCCTGTGTGTGATAATTGCGTGAAGTCAACTTCCTCTTGATGTGTGATTTCTTAGATTCCTGACCAGCCGCTGAGTCATCTTGAGTGATCAGAGAGCTTACACAGACCAGGTGGCTTGAACAATGGCATGTGTTTTTCAAGGCTGTGGAGGCTGGAAGTCCAAAGTCAGGGTGCCAGCTTGGTCAGGTCCTGAAGGACACTTTCTGCCGTGCTGCCATCTTACTGTTCCTCACTTGATGGAGAGCAAGCCAAGCCCTGGGGATCTTGTTAGAAGAGTGCCAGTTCCATGGGACCAGAGTTCCACCCTCGACCCCTTTGGACCTTACTTGCTCCTTCAGGGCTCTGTCTCCCATGCAGTCAAACAGAGGGTCATGTGGAGGGTCATGTGGGCAGTCAGCACTTCAGCATATAGATTTGTAGTGGGGACACAGTTATTCTATAGGGCTCGGTAACTTGTAAATTTCAACATTAGATTGTTAAACCTGTTTAAATATTTATCTCATACAGTCAAACATTTAAACATTTCTCTCTGAGCTACAAATGACTTCATTTTCATATCTGTCATTTGTCTTTAAACAGCCTATGCTCTCAGCTTTATCATCTTTGTATGTACTTTGAATTGATGAGTTAAATTTTTTAAAAATCTTAACTAGTCTCAAATTTAACCAAGTGTATACTGAAGGTAACAGCAAAACTCTTATTAATGTCATGAATGGCTACTATCACATGTCATTTACCTAATGATTAAGCAAGTAGGTTAGAACAAATCTAACAGAACTCAGTCCAAAAAAGGAAAAGAAGTGGAGAGGGAAATGTACAAGCTATAGTCCTTTTGACATTTGGGCTTTAATAGCTCATGTGACTGGAAATAATTCGACCTGAAATTGTCAGGTGACTATCTCCCCACCCACATGTTCACAGTGTGAGGGAAAGGCAGTAAATAACATCCTGTCACTGTAAGTTTCATCAGACTCTAGCAAGATGGACATAAATCACGGGGCTCAGAGTCTCTAACCTGAGGCAGACTTTGATAGTCAGAGTATTCAAATATTTGCCTCCAATTTATCTCAGAGCACACAGAGGTTCATAAACCACCAAGCAGCAAATGTTTTGTCTGTTAATCTGTCACCCGGAAAAGGAGGTGTCATTTGTTGAGTGGGGTGCTTAGGTTGTGGTGTTATATTTAAGGAGCGATTTCATCTGACAGTTCACCCTAGAATTCAGCGCCATGCCTAAGTGAATAGAAAGATGGTGTTTCAAGAGGACAAGTCTTTTGTTAATTCTGTCTGCTTGCAGAGTGCAGAGGCTGGGAGCTTGAGCAGCCTGCAAGGAGTCCAGGTCATCGGGTGAGGCTGAGACCAAGGACTTTGTCGGGGCTGGCAGATGTGCCGCCTCTGATGCCATTAGCATAATTGATTAGGAACTGGGACATATTTAGTATTAATCAAGCTGTTTTTAGTGAAGCTGATTATGCCAGTCCTCTTGATGCACTATTTTGGTCTGGAACTTCCTTAGGATTAAGTTGAAAGAAAATGGTTTTATGTAAAATGGAGAAGCCTAAAAGTAGCATTGAAGTACATTACTGGATTTGAAGAACACGAATTGAACTGCAGGAATTTAAACATATTTTAATTTTAATGTTTTTTACAATGTACATGTTATTGTTTGTCTATAAGAGTTTGGAAATAATGTAGAACTTTATCAGTAGAAATCTAAAACTTTATGGGCCTTGTGTGGGTATCAGCACTCTATACGTCTGTAATGCCTTTGAAATTCTTCTTTGTGCATTCATAGAAGTTTAAAAATTGACTTTCTTACCATATGCATATTATTCTGGGAAATACCACTGTACTTCTTATGTCAGAACATTTATTAGTGCCCTGAGGTCATATAGACCTTGATTTTCACTGTTCTTTCCTGTAACATGCTTTGAAAGTGATTATGAATTTTTCATTGTTTTGAATATTTAAGTATAAAAAGACTACATATAAATTACTTGTTTCCTTTGACCCCTGGTCTATTTTTACAGTATATTTGCTTAGGGAAAATTGGCTATAGTAGCTTTAAATAGATCTTACTTAATCACTTCAAGGAATTATTTTCATCACTGCTGTCAATTTATATTTAATTCTAGACTAGCTTGAGGAGAATTAACTTAGGAATGGACCAAACAAATATAATACTAATTCTCATAGTATTTCAAAAATTCTTAAATTTTGATACAGAATTAATTATCATAGCCTTTAGATGTTCTCACCAAGGATGAAAAGCCCAGAAATTCAAAGATACATGTGGTTGTGACCCATTTATTATACAAATGCAGCAGGGCTCTGTGGGGTGTTTCCCCCAATCAAATAGTATTTCACAGTATTAACATTATAAGGTCTTTACCCTTTAGTATGAGTGTCATTTCATCACCAAATGTTGGCCAGCAGTTTCACTAACCTCCCACTCCAAGAACTATATTGCTTAGGAAAGATCAGCTCTTTTTTGCTGTCATACAATCTTCAGTAATTAAATAGACAATCTCAATCCATGTTACTCATGCCCCAATCACCAAGAAAGGCAGAAAAATTATTTTATAAAATCGTCCTGTACAAATTCATCTCAATTGTCTAGTGACTGGATTGAGAAACTCCTGGAGAGGTGAGTGGATCATGTGGCTCTATACTTACCAGTGACTCGATCCTCTGATGGCCATAGCTGACTGTGTGGTTAGTGGTGAGGCCCAGTTGGAGGTGGACATTACTGGAGAGGCTCTGGACGGGGGGTGTCTGTAGCTGGCTAGTGCTCATTCCCTGAGCTCTGCCTTCCAGCCACCATGAAGTGAGCAGGTCTGCTCTACCATGCCCTGTCACCATGAGTTGACCATGGACTGAATCCCTTGAAACTGTGAGCCAAAATAAACTCTTCCTCCTTTAAGTTATGGCTGTCAGGTATTTTGTGCAGATTTATAAAAAGTGACAGAAACATAGAAGTGGAAGGAAAAAGTTAAGTTTTACACTAATCAGTTGACTAATCTTTACTAATCAATTGACTTAAGATTTCCATGCCTTCGCTTATAAACTTGGGTACTGGGCTTAAATTGTCCCTAAAGCCCCTCTCTGCCTTTTTATTTGCCCCTTGCATTTTTGAGGATGTTGGTAATGAACTACCTTAATAACAAAGTAAAACCTCTATGCTTTGCTTATGTGTAAATAGTATGGCAGAGTCGTAAAGGAGGGTTGTTGCTTCAATAGAGATGTTGAATTTGTTCAGAAAGTGAGAAATATTATGAAGCACTTTTATTGAAATACAAAAGTGAGTTGTACAGATCATAAAAGTTGTAAAA